CGCAATCACTGTGGGCAGCATGCTGCACCCTTCAGTGGGATGCCGTATGCACCAAAGCAAATACAGCCTGAGCCAGCGTTCACACGACTGTGGCTGGATGCGCTCTGCTTTGGGCTGTTTGTGGGAATGCACCTTTTCAGAGACAGTGGTTAGCCTCAGACTCTGCAGACGCCCCAAAGCTGCATGTCGATGATGTTGTTGTTGATGTCTTTGATGATACTGTTGATGTTGATGATGTTGTTGATGTCGTTGATGATGATGTTCATGTCATTGATGTCGTTGAGGATGTTGTTGATGTCTTTGATGTTGTTGATGATGTCGTTGATGGTGTTGATGTCATTGATGATGATGTTGATGTTTATAATGTCGTTGATGTTATTGATGTTGTTGATGTCATTGATGATATTGTTGATGTCGTTGATGTTGATGTCGATGATGATGTTCATGTCGTTGATGTTGTTGATGATGTTGATGTCATTGATGATGTTGATGTCATTGATGATGTTGATGTTTATAATGTCGTTGATGTTATTGATGTCATTGATGTTGTTGATGTCATTGATGATGTTGATGCCGTTGATGATGTTGTTCATGTTTATAATGTCGTTGATGTTATTGATGTTGTTGATGTCATTGATGTTGTTGATGATGTCGATGTCGTTGAGGATGTTGATGTTATAATGTCGTTGATGTTATTGATGTCGTTGATGTCATTGATGAGGGTGATGTCGTTGAGGTTGTCATTGATGGTGTTGCTGTCTTTGATGATATTGATGGTGCTGTTGTGGTTGATAATGATGTGGTGATCGTTCTGACCCATAACAACCCCACGCACAATAGAACAAGACATCTTCCTGGCCTGCACCATCCTCACAATTGTTCCTGTGCCTGAGCCTGTTGTTTCAATTACAGTGCCAATCCATCTTCCTGAGGGCCTTCCTCTCGTTCTCTGCCCCCTCCACGTTACCAAGCACGATGTCCTCCAGGGACTGGTCTCTCCTGGGGCCACTCCAGGAGTGCTGGGCTTGACCCTGTCATCCCTGTGACGTGATGGACAGCGAGTGTGGAGGAGAGCCCAGGGCTTGGATGCGTGGCTGGTGCGTGCAGACAGCAGAGCCTCACTCCCCCGCTGCCTTCCTCGTGGGTTTTGCGTGTGTCTGGGGAGCAGAGTGGGCGCCTGAGTGCATTCCACCCACGTGCTCAGAGCTCTCTTCAGGGCACGGGACAAACAAAGCTGTGAGCAGAAACAGCCCAGGCAAGTGCTGACCAGGTCCCCACAGGACAGTTGGCCTTACTGCCGAAAGCTCTCAGGCAGCCTGACTTAGGTTGGAGCCTGTGGCCTAGGCTCAGCCTAGGGATGGATTGTCGCCTTGCGATTCTGCGTTCATGAACCTCACCCCTTCCCATGCAAGGGCGTCTGGACCAGAGAGACTTCAGGCCCACATCAGAGACACAGACACAAACTTAAGGGTTTAAACCACCTCAGCCCTCGGGAAGCGTAACTTGCGTAAAAATTTACATCACACACTTTTGAGAAGCAGGCATGTGCCCCTTCTCTCGAGACAGGGCCCTGCAGGCACATATTCATGATGGGCACAGGGGCCCACAGGCACATACTCATGGTGGGGACAAGGGCCCACAG